AAGAACGCTCATTTATGTACATTCTTAGCCATCTTGGTTAGAATTGGAATGTGCAGACTGGCGGTGAAATTTTGTGCGCTAGAAGTTGGTTAGAAGGGTGGCTGCACTTTTGGGCCCTAAGCCCTCCATGAAGCGATCTGTCCATACTCTCGCTATATAGGTACTCTAATTTCTCCATAAAAAACCGGGTATTTTTGGAGAAAATAAAGGGCACAAAAAATCTGAATCAAACAGGCCGTGTGCCATATCAATTCTACGTTACTTTTGGCGTGAAATCCATATCTGAAGTCAAAACATACCCTTGCTATGATGATATGGCGCACAGCCTGTTTGATTCAGATATTTTGTGCCCCTTATTTTCTCCTCACCAAAACAAAGCACCGCCTAAGCCTGGGGCCCAGTGGCCATACTCTCTCAATATAGGTACTCTAATGGCGGCCTTTGATTGCGTCAGCGGATAACTCATGCAGAAAACGTTTGACCACACTTCGGCTGAGCTCAGCCACTCTGCGGATAACTCAGCGGTTGCACTTCTGACTCTAGGCTTGTGCTTAACGGCTACTTTTCGGGAACGTGATTACTGTTACTGCTACTCAAAAATCACGGTGAAAAGTAGCAGTGATTTTTCACAGGATAACTGACAAGGATAACCTAAAAATACCGCCGTCTCCAACAGTTCGTTGACTCAGGTCAGATCACATGTGAAAAGTAGCAGGTGGCGGTTATGCTGTGATTTATCACAGGTTAACCTTATCAAACGATCCTTCCTAAATGCTTTCTACATCTTCAAAATTAAAAGTACTAGAGTACCTATATTAAGAGAGTATGGCCACTGGGTCCCATCATGAAAGAAATAGACCCATGGAGAGGCTTAGGACCCAAAAATGGCGGTGCTTTGTTTTGGTTTTTGCGGATGAGAGGGGGGTCATTGCCAACTTTTGACGGATATCACCAACCGCACTCGCTGCCAACCTTACTACATCCAAGATAATTTTTCTCGAAAATTGCACACGATTAGCCTTAAAAATATGTAACGAGGTCGCAATAGTGCATTTTGGTAAATTTTTCGTTACGATAAGCAAAGACAACTACATTTTGAGTCATTTTGCATTACATTAACTTATGGCGTCCGCCATTTTTGGGTCCTAAGGGCTCCATTCAGCCTAAGATGGCTGAGCCAATCAGAGGTGGTAACTCAAGTGGCCATACTCTCTCAATATAGGTACTCTAAAAAGTACCACTGATTTTCTACAGCATAAACTCTTTAAATCACTCGTTCTTCTCAATTCCCTTTTAGTGGTAAAATTGATACTGTAATATTTTACTATCACTGTTCAATCCACAAGTCATAATTTCCGGAACTATCTGTGAATCACAGGTAAAAGTAGCAGTGAGGCCACGGAGTTACTACCCACGATGCATTGTAATATTCGAAGATTTCACGTGATTGGCTATCCGCCCTATTGCCGCAATAATAAGCGAATTTTCGCGATCGAATGTCATTCATCAAACGAATTGATCAGTGCTGAGTGATGCCGATGATCGTTGATGTCAGGAGCCAATCAGAGCTCAGATTTTTTTCCTAAAGCCCTTTCCACACGTTGCAAGTTTTGCTGCAAGTGAGCCGAAAGTGGGAGTCATCACTCATCGATGATGCTGAAATTTGCGTCCCGTCCGCAAATTTCACGACCATCGATGAGTGATGACTCCCACTTTCGGCTCACTTGCATCAAAACTTGCAACGTGTGGAAAGGGCTTAAATGAAATTAAGAAGAAAATAAGAAAACACGAAACACTAAAACACAGAAAGTGCGAAAACACCAGACTTGAATTGACAAAACACAACAACAGAAAGAGATGACAGAACAAAAATTTTGGTGAGAGATGAAGTTTCTGACATCGATTGCATCAATTCAAAAATCGAATTATAAGCCCCACATACACGGTAAAAGTGGACCTTAATATTGGCTTAATGTGGGAGTCACCGATGCGTTGTTGAGCGGTGACCTTCAAAGTCACTTTAAACAGCAGTTACAAGATTAAATCGGCAGGGCCTAGCATTGTTGCCGAGCTAGAGGCCCAATACAAATTTTTCATAAGAGTTCAAACGGGTTAGTGAACATATTTATACAACCCTGACAACAGTGACTTAACTTGTTTGGTTTTTTAAAATTCTGGAAGTGCACGTGAATATTGAAGGTTATGTGTTGATTGTTTTTTGTTATTTCCAACCATGAAAGAAATTCCAACCGAACATATTCACCGAAAAAAATAATATGCTGTTTTAACATCCAGGATGTCAAAAATGTGTCTGGTGATCCCAAGATGCTGCCTTTACTGCCCCCGCAGTTAATTTTACATCCTGTGAATGCAAATTCAACTGCGAGAGCAGTAAAGGCAGCATCTTGGGATCACCAGACACATTTTTGACATCCTAGATGCTAAAACAGCATATTATTTTTTTCAGTGTTATGATTATTTTGGGTAGGTGAAGTATTGTTCATAGGTTCAGAAATAACTTTTTTGGGCTGAACCACTACCCTCGTGGATTTGTCATCGTGCACACCAGCTCTACCTGCTAGTAACTCCCTGCATGATTTGCCCGGCTTGGGCATAGTTTTAAGTAGGACCGTTCTCTTCACGTTCTTGTTCCTATCGATGAAAGACATTTTAATGACTGAAAATTGCGAAACGCATGCGAAAACGAATAAAAAAACTCCACTAACCACACTACACGACCGGGAGAAAACCAAACACAGAGCAATCCTCCAGAGGATGGTAGAGGATGGTGATCGTTGATTCAGAATACCATCGGTGAGCCTTAATCGTCGGCCCGGAGAATATTAAGGTTCACCGCTCAACAACGCATCGGTGACTCCCACATTAAGCCAATATTAAGGTCCACTTTCACCGTGTATGTGGGGCTCAAGTCCCGAGGTGAATTCGAAATTTCAAATTGATGGATTTCAACGGTCTCTGGTGAGACTAACGAAGAAGTCGAATATCATTGAAAAAAAAATGCTCAATCGTCGAATATCATTCAATGGTGAATGATATTCAATCGCGAAAATTCGCTTAATCAGACGCTGAATTTAGCACCTGAATGTGGAAGTCAACAGTCATCGCCCAACGGTTGAAATTTAGCAAATTCGAGTTATTTTCAACCAGGTGTGTGTTAAATCTACTCGAATAGTTCAGACAAATTCAAAATTGGTCCGATGGTTGCTGAGAATCGTTGCTGAATTTTGCGCGTGACGCGCAAAATTCAGGCATTGGGCCGATGACTTCCACTAGAGTCCCTTTATACCCAGAGTTACGACAACTCACTTTTGGTTGGGCCAGGATTGGGCTGAAAGTGGCCTAAAAAAAAATCCAATTCTGATTGGTTCTCGCTCATGGAGGCCGAAACGAGTGCACCAAGATGGCGGTACCTCGAATGTGAAGAAGAATAATGAAAATATTACCTAATTGTGGTTTATCAAGAGTAAATTGTTATTTCCATAGGTCCAAAATGAAAATAGATTAAGAAATTATTCACAAACCAATCTCATTTTCTTTTCTTTGTTGATGTTGTTGTTTTTGTGTGACAGACATCGTAGGATTCCTGATCCTTATCCCTCAATATCGTTCGTTTGGGTGCACTCGTTTCGGCTTCCATGGCCAGCCAAGGACGGATGCCAATCAGCTGATAATCGAGTTGTCGTAACTCTGGGTATAAAGGGACTCTAACTTCCACATTCAAGCCACATTCAGCTCCCACATTCAGCGTGTGATTGCGGTGTTATTAGGTGCTACTCTGCTCTGCCGCTGTTATCATGCTGCTCCTTTTAAACTGCTACTGCTCTTTTTGCTTCGTTATCGCAATCGCAGTGTATCCAACTGTAACTATGATTAACCATGTGCAAGCTCATTCATAAATTTTTTTCGCCGTTTAACACTAAAGTTTTGGTTACTCACTGTTTAACTATCAGCGACTAACTTTTGATGAAAACTGCCCAAAAAAAGAGCAGAATAACAGGTGTTCCTCGCCAGTCACAGTGATCGATCACTGCTACTCAAGAATCACAGTGACTTTTACCTGCTACTGCGATCGCGGTCACAAGCCAAGGCGGATAAAGAATGGTGGTCGCATCTCGTACCCTCTGGACGTCACACGGTATCGGGTACATCGGGTACATGGGCTGGCCGAGGCCGGGGGGGCCGACTCAACCACTCAACCTCGGATTGCACGGCAAAACCCGTGCCCTCCTGACGTCACAACGCTTCAAGATGGCAGCCAAAATCGAAATGCGACCACCATTCTTTAACCGCCTTGGTCACAAGCCTATTAACAACGCGTCTCGATTGTCGATATCTCAATTTTTAACAATAATAATATGGCGTCCAAGAAATGGCGGAAAATGTGTGTTTTGGCAATTTCTGGCCGCCATCTTGGTAAGGCTCAGACATTTTGCAAATTCAAGATCGGATTTGTTTTTCTGTTTTGGATCACCCTGTATAATAGCGGAGAATCCCTGAAGTGACGTCATCGCTTACAGTCGTAGGCATCCGCTTGCGTCCGCTGATCAGTCATCAGTGAGTCATCCTCATCGTCCTCATCACTACTCCGATGAGTTCATCGCAGTTCGCAGTCATAGAATTAAGAGACTAACGTCAACAGAAGCGAAAGCCTCCGCCATTTTCATGTCAACAAAGTATAACGAAAGGAAGCTGCTTCAATAAGTACTGTTTACGTTTGCGGTAGGTCGACGTTTTGGAGAGGTCGAATAATAACGGATACATACGTTTTTAGGAATTGAAAGAGTTTCCCCTTAACTTATTTATCGTTTAATCGGAGAAGTACTGTAAATTCGCTTAAAATTAAATGTTTTTTCCCACTTTTATATTTGTAGGTAACCTCGAAATTGGTTTCAATAAGTACCGACTCTGAGAAGAAAAATGTTAACATTGGTTCTTACGGAGCTTTCGCTTCTGTTGACGTAGTTTATTTATTCTATGTCGCAGTTTGGTTTGGTATTGGTTTGGTTCGCCTCGAAGATTGCTGTTATGTCGTTGTCTCCGTAGCCGTTATGCGAAGGCGGTGTCCTCCTTTTTACAATAATACGCGATGTGCCTTCATGAAGTGATCTTTTTATTCGTATTAGTGGCATCCGATTTTGAAGTCGAAGGATTTAACGAAGGTATCCCTCTACCAGACTCGAAAGTTGTCTCCTTGTTGCCTTCTTTTCCAGGGCTAGTTTCCTCAGGCCATGTTTGTTTTTCCGCCATCTCCAAAGAAACTGTTATGGGCGGTGTAGTACGTACCCGCAGCCTGATAACGGATTTAATTTCAAGCTATCCCCTCTCGCCCATTAATTACAATACCAATTCATCCTCTTTAATTAAATATGTGTACTCGTAAAAAGTCTTATTACATATTTAACCGAATGCGGGTTCGTTAACTTCTCCACGTAACCCCAAAATGAGAGAGGGGAGGGCGCCCGCCAGTGGTTTGTTTACGTTCCCGTCAAGAATTCCGAGAAAGATGAATTGCAACTCAAAAGATGTGAAATTAAAAATGTCTTAATATTTTTCTTGGTGCAGAAACCATTTACCTTTTCATGGAGAAGAATCTTTAATCCATAGCTAATCTCTAGTTCTTTGTTTGCATCCCAAAAAACTTCTCTTGGCATGTCAGGGATACAAAATTCTTGAATGAGTCATTCAACTATTTCCTTGTGATTCAACATTTTTGGGTTGAGCGAAAAGGAAGTTTACAAAGTGATACATGATTTTCAGCGACTCAGGCATACCAGGTCATTGACTGATTACCATTTGCAAGGATTTGCTGTTCTGGCCTCATCTTTTAGCATTAACATAATCCAGTGGTATTTCAGCCAGAATGGAACAGTAGCTGGGAGGTTTCTGTTAAGTGTGTTTTCTACCATTTACTATCTCACAACTCAATAATTGCGTCTGAAAAACATGCTTTTAGATTCTTTGAGACTCCTGATGAGATTTCTGACTCTAGCTCAATACTGAGAACTTGACTTACAAGTGCATCAGCCACTGATGATTGCTATCAGCTTGTCCTGATAAGTTATTGTTGCTGAAAAGCATTTCCCTTGCCCAAGTTTTCATTTTTCCTTATTACCACCATAGTTAGTCCAAGGACCTCGCACACTCCTTATGAGAATGTGCACCATGGTCAATTTCCAATTTTTTCATTGCATGATTTTCGTTTTTGAATGCTAATCAAAAGTCATCATGTGCCAACTTTTTACGAAGCATTGTTTTCCCAGTATTTCGCACAGTCCGTTCTGGAAGTTTCAATAATTACCTGAATGAGTGAAGCCAGCGTGGCGATTTAACAAGGAAAACCCAAGCCGGTGATAGGCAAGGAAAAGAGTGATTGAGAGAAAGATTCTGATTTGGACTATGAAACAAGAAAGTGCAAGGAGTCCGAGATAAGACTGCCAGGTTCTTCTCGTTATCAGCAAGTGCTGGAAGATAGATATTGCCTAGCTGGCCTCACTTATTCAAGTGACAATGGAAACTGTGCGAAATACCGTGAAAACGGTGCCTCGTAGAAAGTTTGCAAAATTATGACTTTTGATCAGCATTCCAAAACACATTTAATGTAATAAAAAAATTAGAAATTGATCGTGGTGCACATCCCCACAAGGAGTGTGCGGGGGTCCTTTGAATTAATTTTCATTTGATCATCTGGGCTAATGCTGTGTGTTCTCATGATTCAGGCTTTAGTGATGGAAAGATACAGTTTGGGCAGAACTTCATTTCGAGGTCCCAGCATCCAAGGCATGTCAGTCCTATATCCTACCAAGAAGACAATTCCTTCTCTGTAAGTTTTCTTTTATTATTGGCTCTAAATTTTGCCTCCCATTATAAAATGTCATTTTTAAAGAAGAACTTCATCAATTGATACAGGGCCGGATTTACATTTTTAGTGCCCCAGGCTAAACTTAGGGTGGCGCCCTTGAAAGTAGGCGCTTAGGCGCTGGGGGAGAGGGGTCCCCCAGGAGCCCCTCCCCTCCAGATCAGAAGGAGGATGTTAGGTGTCAGGAAAATGCTCGAATTCACCTTTAAAAAAACACGATTTTAAACAGTTTTGAGGTACGTTTACGTTTGCAAGTTGGTTTTGGAAAATGAAAAGTAGGTAACAAAAGACTCGTTAAATTAAAAAAAAAAAAAAAATAATTTCTCAAAGATTTTGCGCCCTTCAGAATGTTGCGCCCTAGGCTACAGCCTATGTAGCCTATTGGTAAATCCGGCCCTGAATTGATAAAAACATGTAAATGTAAATAAGTTGCTCTCAGAAAGAATTCTGCTGAAGGAGTTAAAAATTGCAAGAGTTACGCCAATTAAGAAGGTTGTAAATGCAGAAAAAGCTGAGGACTTAAGACTGATAAATTCATTGCCATTTATTGAGAAAGTGATGGAAGGGATTGTTGTAAAAGGATTAACCAAGTACTTGTCAGACAAAGGAACTCTTGTAGACGAACAGAGAAGATTAAAGAAAACCCGAGGAGTTAGTGCAGGCACTGTTGAAGAAATGGAGGGAAAGGAGAAAGAATGGTAAGACTGAAGTTGTGGTATTCCTAGACTTAAAAAGGGCATTTTAGACTGTGAATAGGGCTAAATTGGTTCAGAAATAAAAAAAATAGGGATTGATGAAGGAGTCCTAAAGTGATTTGTAAATTACTTGCAGGACAGGAGACAGCAAGTGGCATGGGGAGAGAAATTGTCAGATGAGATGTGCGTAGAGTTTGGGGTACCCCAAGGAAGTAGATTAGGGCCTTTATTATTCCTAATAATCTATATAAATGACCTGATGGAGGTGGTGAGGGAGAGCGAATTGAGTCTATTTGTGGACGATACGTTAGTGTTCAGTAGTGAAGGAGACATAGGGAAAGTGGTAGGGATTATTAATAGGGACTTAAAAAGATTAGGTATGTGGTTGAAGGAGAACAGGCTAGTACTGAATGTACTGAAAACTAAGTATAAGGTATTTGAAGTTGGACCTGAAACATGGGGGGGGGGGAAGGAAGGATAATGATAGATAATATTGAGTTAGAAAGAGTGAGGGTGATGAAATATTTAGGATTGTAGATATTAGATGACTTGAAATTGAAAGAACATACAAGAAAGGTGACTAGGGAGTTAAGGGGTAAGGCTAGTATGCTATGGAGGATCAAAGATTTCACAGGGAAGGAGAGTAGAAAATAGTTTATAATTCATTAATTGAAGCTAAATTAAATTACTGTATTTTCCTTCTTGGAGAGGCAAGCAGTAAAGAGATTAGGGACCTACAAAAGGGAGAAATAATTCTGCAATCAGATATATATCAGGGTGTGATAGGGGAAGTAGAATAATTGATATGCTGGAGACTCTGGGTTGGCTGTGTATGGAATTTCTGATAAAAGCCAGAATATTAATTTTCATATTCATAATGAAGAAGGGATTGATTGATATAGGAGATAAAGAGTTATTGGAGATACTAGATAGGAGAAAGGGAAGGAATTTAGAGTTGAAATATAATGATGTGAGGGAGGTGTATAATATGTTGTTCTTTAAGGGACTGAGAGATGGCACATTGTTCTGTTGTGAGAAATGGGAGGAATTGCAACTGGGAGCATTTAGAAATAGGGTAGGATTGGAGAGATAGGGAACTTCTACCCAGGTGCTGTAGGTGGAAGGAGTTAGGCTAGTAGATAGTAGAAAATTAGGTTAATAGGTTAGGGAATGGCGGGGAAATGTAGGTTAGGGAATGTAGGCTGATGGGATTAGCCCTTGAGGGCTAGTTAAAAGGGGGAAAAAAATAGCAATTGCTTGAATGTGCAATACCTTAGGCCCTGTCCACACGAGCATGGTTTGAGGAACTTATTTGACGAACTGCTTAGTTTCCCAAAACTTGTTCCTTAAAACGAGGCATGCTGTCCAAACGAGTTCGCCCGAGCTGAAACCGGAACTTCAATATAAAACTGTACAATTATTGCAAAATAATAGATTATTACGGCGAGAGTAACAAAAACAAACGTCAAGACATAAAGGACGTGAAAAACAAACGCAAACAAATTCACAAATAAAGAGACAAAGAGCTCAGAGTACGGGGGAAAATTCGGGGTTTGGAGGAATAAGTTTTAGCTCAGCTAAAACTTTTTCCAGGAACAAGTTCCCCAAACTAAGTTCTGCGAACTGCGCTCGTGTGGACAAGGCCTTAAATTAAAAAGCATCAATTTCTCTCAACATAATGTCATCATTTCATTCTTGAAGTATTAATTATTCTGAAGTAAACTTCTGTTTTCTAGCTTTAGCACAAACAATTTTATTTTAATACCAAGTTATAATGATCAATAAATAAGCCATTGAAAAAGACATCAGCTGCCTCTTATGGAGGTCCGGTCAAACATGGTGGCACTGCCGAATTGTGTTTGTCACATAGTTGATGTTTGAAGAATGTGCAATGAAAGATAATAAAAAAGATGAAACATGGCAATTATTTACATATGAAGTAGAATTAGTGCAGTCTTACAAGTTTTTTTAACTTAGTGGGCTTCCATCCAGTTCAATGATGTTAGTGAGGATTAAGGAATTGCAGATTGAAGTATTGCTACATACTTTTCAATCAGTTGTTTTCCTCGAAAATAGTTTTTCTTGTAACTGAATTCCACATAATGGTACCAGTTTGCTCCAATCAACCTTAGACCAAGATGTATCCATATAGGTCAGTCATTGCATAGATTTCCCCGCATTACTGCCATGAAAACCAGAAATGACGGAAACAATGTTTTTTTTATGGGAGAATACTAAGTTTTATTAAGTAATGAATCATTTAAATTTCTTAGTTTTAAATCCTTTGAAAATTTCTGATTGTAGAGAAGGAAATTTAGGTATTACCATTCAGAGTTTCGATTTTGCCGAATTTGTGTTTTTTCATTTTTACAGTCGACGCTGTATCAGCCATTTTTACACGCATAATCTATACCACAAAATGGCTCGTACACTACTGACTTCAAGAATCATCTAAAAATATGAAAAGGTAAATTCGGCCAAATGGAAACCCTGAAAGCTAATGTCTAAAGGTTCTTATCTCTCAAAAAGCTTCAAACAGTTTGAAAGTAAGAAATTCAGATGATTCATCAATAAAAATTTAGCCTTCTCCCATAAGGAAATCACTGATTCCCAGCTTCCTGGCTTTTGCGCCAGTAATACTTACTAACGTCATGCGCAGAAGATTCTCAGTTTGGTTCTGGGCATGACTGACCTATATGGATAGATCTTGCCTCAGACAGCAATTTTATGACAATTTTGTTACTCCTGGCTCCATCTCATAGAGAAAAAAAAAGGTGTTTGCATTTCGGGCATCTTGGAATTTTTTTGATGACATAGGTCGGTACAGTGACGTTTATCATCGATTTTCTTGGAAATGGTGTAATTTATAGACAAAATTCATTCTATATAAAGTGCTTGAAATCATATTATTAGTTGATTTAAGCAAAAAAATGGGACATTATGGTCCGTTTTTCATACTTCGAATTCGGGATTTCGCTGACCAGGTTGTACCGACCTACGTCATAGGGTAAACAAACCTCAAGATGCAAACACCTCCTTTTTTTTCTCTATGGCTCCATCTGATTAGAGTCCCTCTGTAGAGAGAGTTAAGACAACTGGGCTTATGGATGTCAAACCGGAAATACACAAACCGGAATAAAGATTACACAAATCGAACGTTTTTTGTAATCTTTGATCAACCCATTCCGGAATTCCTGTCTCTGTTCCCTCTCTCATTCCATTTGTTTCTTGTCTTACTCCCAATGCCTCGGTCCATTCCAGTTTATTATCTTTGCAGTTGGTGAAAATGTAATATTTATTCCCGTTTGTGACAGTGTGAAGGCCTACATTACGGGAACCAATCAGAAATGGATTCGCATTGTCTTTACTCTCAGTATAAAGGGATTCTGCATCTGATGAGATAAATATTGGACTAAATTTCACAGCCGAATTATGTTACCAGTTGTGGGGTCACACCTTCCTAATGATTTTTCTGGCTTACAAATCAATATTTTAGTTCAATATAGCAATTTTCGGGAGCATTTTTTTTCCTCCTGGAGAATCCATGGCCATCCCTAGTATATTGTCTAAATACTCTTTTGCTTCAAACTTTGAATTGGCAGCGTCTAACTGACAAGACTTTTTCGGTTGTTAAAGTCTATTATTTTCAAATGTAATGACAATTTTTCATGCTTTTTTAGTCTGATAAGTTAAAGAGTCATCATTCTTTTCGATTTTTCACATTGGTTCTCGTTTGTTTTGCTCATTGTCGTTCAAAATCCATAGTAACATGACTATTCCTGTTATTGTGAAATCACCTGTATGAAAGGTCATTGAAATACTTTCTGCTTTGAGGAAGATCAGCTGAGTTCCCACATCTTACTCTGAGACGTGTTTATTCAAATCTTTAGCCTAATTATTTGAAATTATTTTTTTTGTCAAATAGGTAGGCATTCAAAGCTCCTGAATAATAGGGATGATTCGTCACAAAAAATTTCATGGTCCCAATGGAGAATTTACACGCAAATTTTTTATTGCTTCATCTGGAAGTGTCTACTTACAGAGCTGATTTTGCAGTATTTTTTATAATTTTTTTCGTCCATGAGAAATAGTATATAAATAGATTTAAAAGTGAGAAAATGCGCCGCCTAGTGATGTCATCTGGCAGCATTTCCCATTTAAACGCATGTATTTTAGCAGATTAGATCATTTTGTCATATCTCCTCCAATAATTATTCAATTTATGAACCAAGGGTATCTTCATGTTCAGCTTACTCGGTAGCGTCCATTCAAACATGAAATTCATCAAATTTCAGACACTTGCAAATTCTTAATTGTAGTCCAATTTAATACTATGTCCTACCTTCCTTAACAATTGACAAATCCTTTCGCTCATTTATTTGTTCTTTTTCTTGTTCTTGTTTCTTTATATATTTTTAGCTAGGTCCACCAAACAGAGGTCCTCATATAACTTAACTCATTATTCAAGCTCACCAGTCCTCATCTTGTATTATAAACTATACTCCCTGCCAGATGACTTGACGGGTTGAATTCAGATTAAAATGCCTGAATTGCCAATTTAGCAGACCAAACAGAACACAAAAAAACCGCTTTGCGACAGGAAGCGGACACTGCGAATACATTAATTGTGACCTTTGATTAGAATTCAACCTACCAATTCAGCCTCTGGGGAGTATAGTTCTCTCACAAGCAACCTAATACTCCCCTTAAGCTCAAATATCTGCTTCATGTTACATGTTACATTTTGCAAAGATTTATCATCTCCTCCACTTTTGAAGAATCCTAGTACCTAATAAGAGAACTAGAACTCAAAACTTGAACTCCAGACTGCCCAAACATTCAGACCCATTCTTACCATTCAATAGCCGAAATGATATGAATGCTGTTGTTTTTTTTAGTACACAAGCACTCGTGAAGGGTCTCAGCTAATAATTCAAGACAATCACAAGCCGGAGTTCACCAACTGCTCTCAATACAAACCTAGTATAGTGGAAGAAGAACCAGCAGGAACATACGTTTTGACTGTAAGTTTCACTAAAATATTCTAGAACATATTTGCATTACTTAAAACATTGTAGCAACATAAGCCTTTCAATTTTAAGTTGATCCACCTCGGGATGTTGCACATTGCTCCCAGACCCTGATCTAGCTGGCATTTATTACAATTCGACCAACCACAGGTCTCGCTCTTTGTATTTAGAGTTTTAAGTTGATGACAGTAAGTCTGCAACAGCAAGCAAATTTGGAGAATTTGAAGAAAGATCTACTCAAAAGCACCCTCTTTATACCTTTGCTCTCCTGATATTTTTTTTGCCTCGGCCAGTGGCGTTTGATGAAGATGAACTACTAGCGTTTATTCCCAGTTATTAAAAGTGATTACCAGTGTTCTTAATAAAAAAATTTGTTGTGTTCAAGAGATATAGGTAACTGTAAAGGAATTTTTTTCTAGATCAAATAGCATGAAAGTTATGTTGAACACATTGAAGGTCATACATTTATCCCTTTTAATTCCTGTATGTCCTCGTATCCAGGCGAAAATTTCAGCAGTGCACTTTCTGTGAGGGATTTGGGTGTTGTGAAAGTTCTTAGCGTCTTCATTTTTTCAACTACCCATTCCATTTTAAATATATCCCTTTTTTCCCAAAATTTTTCTAAGCAATGACCTTTTCTTATTCTCTTACTGACAAATTGTTGCGGTTTTGTAAAAAGAGAGAGGGAAAAAAACAAAAACACCTATTTGACAGTAATTCCAGAGAAAAACACGTGAATTTTATGACAGTCTCTGAAGAGAACTTGTAATTTTAATGCTATTGCGAGCAAGCCTTCCCAAGTTTCTTTATCCTCTCCATTTTTTCATGCAATCATAACTGCAAGATCAGGAAGTTTCCAGACCCCTGCCTTTGATGGATCAGAGTGTCGAAGAAAAATCTGTCGTTTCCATCTCCAAAACATGTCAGCATGTCAAAGATTTGAAGAATCCCCCCAGCGGTAGAGGAAAAGGAAGTTAAAAAATTCTAATTTTTACTGTAATCTCAGTTTATGAAACACTTTTAAAGGAAACAATAAGAAAACTTTGCGGAACTAATGCATCCAAGTCTCTCTCAACGTACATTATCAACTCTTATAATTTCATTTCAGGTAAATGCAAATGACAGAGACCCACCGGAAAGTGGCGGTACAATTAATTATACTTTTGTCTCTGCACCCAATGAAAAGGTAGCATTTTCAATTGATTCCAGCACAGGAGTCATCACCACGAGACATGTAAGTACAAATAGTAATTGACCTTTGTTGTTTTTATAGATTTTATCATGAGGATCCAGATGCTCTCGCGAAAGAAGCAAGATCAAGTTTCTATTTTCCCCTCCCCTTCACTTCGAAAATCAACTTTGGATGGTGGTTACCAATATGTCTGTGTTGGAAATAAATATGCAATACCCATCTCTATTTGGACTACAATTTGCAGTAGGGAACCACAATTTCTGGCTCGTTGTTGACACATCATATCTTACTCTTAAATGTAAAATCGTAAGAGAAACATATGAGGACTTACACGTAACAACAGCGGTCGCTGACATCCACCATTTTTAGGGCAAACGCTTTTTTCGAATTCTGGAACCCTCAAGAATGCCTGTGCAAAGTTTCAGGCTTCCAGGACAATTTTTTGGCGAGATATGAACTGAAAACCATGTTATTTCTAAAAACAGCGGATGTGAGAATCCACCGTTCTCCCCCGCCGCGCCGGCGCGGCAGGATATGGTAGAAATTCGAATCCACTTGCGATAACTGCCCGCACACCGACCATGGGCTATAGCTGACACTCAAATTGTACGTATCGGGACCGTCTCGCCAGAATTGTTGATTTTGTAACTGATTTTATAATTTTCCTCTTATTTTTGTTCTAGAAGTTGCAAACTGTCTAGTTTTTTGTTCAACTGTATTAAATGACTCAGCATTGACTTTACTTTTGGTTTATTTCAATCGTTTCACTAGCCTTAACTCTCCTGAAGACTTTGTTTCATGCATAAAAAAACGTTTTCAGTAAAAACAGCGGATGTCACATTTTTTTCAAATCGCTGTCCCTTCTTCAATTTTTCATTTACATAGATCGCAAAACGTATGTTTAATACAGGAAGGGTTGCTCTTCATGAAAATCTTTATAAGAATCCTCTCGCTTCTACAGGCGGCAAAGTGCAAAGCTTCGAAAACTTCAAATGCGATTTTCTCACAATGTGAAAACTTAACATCCGCTATTGTTACCGATAAGTCCTCATATATGTAACAATAGCGGCTGCTGACATCCGCCATTTTTAGGGCAAACGCTTTTTTTGTAATCTAAAGCCTCCAAGAATGCCTGTGCAAAGTGTCAAGACTTCCAGCGCAATTTTTCGGTGAGATATGAACTGAAAACGATGTTATTTGTAAAAACAGCGGATGTGAGAATCCACTGTTTTCTCCGACCGGCTCAGCAGGATACTGTGGAGATTCGAACCCACTTGTGATAACTGCCTGCCCACCGGCCTGGGCTGTAGCTGACACTCAAATTATAGGTATCGGGACCATCTCGTCAGAACTGTTGAATTTTTAACTGATTTTAGAATTTGTTCCTTGTTTTTGCTGTAAAAGTTACAAACGGTTTAGTTTCTTGAGCAATTTTGTTAAATGACTCAGCATTGACTTACTTTTAGTTCATTTCAATCGTTTCACCAGCCTTACCCTTCCTGAAGACTGTGTTTCATGCATGAAGAAGTGTTTTTAGTAAAAATAGCGGATGTCGCATTTTTTTCAAATCCCTGTTACTCCTTCAATTTTTCACTTACATAGATCGTAAAACGTGTGTTTTTTACCGGAAGAGTTGCTCTTCATGAAAATCTCTATGAGAATCCTCTCGGTTCTATGGGCGGAAAAGTGCAAAGCTTCTAAAACTTCAAACGTGATTTTCTCACAATGTGAAAACTCGACATCCGCTATTGTTACAGATAAGTCCTCATATGTTCAGTCTTGTAACCCACCCCCTTGCCAGCCACTCCACAAACCATCGTTTGACAATTACTTACCTAACGCAGATAGATACATTCATGAATGAGTTTGAAATAGTCTTTCCTCTCTTTAAAATGAACTCTGTTCAGACACATTCACGAAAAAGGCATCCATATTTCGTGGGAGATTCAAGGAGGAATATACCTTTTCAAGGCAAATATCAGGTTTAAGGAGTTGACTTAATTGGCTGGTTTGAGCAAAAGGTGTAGCCTAAACACTGCCATTAGGCTTTGCTTGCTGTGTGTAGAAATGTATCTATGTTACAGTGTTTCAAAATATCTGCGACCATTTTATTCCAGCATTAAAGAACCATTGTAGAACCTCTGAAGATTTTGGCAATTTTTTTTTTTATTTGGATAAGTAATTTCCCTGACATCTCCAATCCAGTTGCATACAATTATTAGGACAAAATTATGCCATGAAAAATATGTGCTAACCTTTTTGAATGATTGAAATTAATTCAATTGATTGAAAAAAGCATCATGCACCGAATTCAACAGATGAAGTCTAGGAGCTGGAACTCTCTCGATAACCTATTCATACATGTGAACAGCAAATTAAGAAAGAAACAATAAGGTCATCACTTTTGAAATGAGATTTTTGCATTAATTCTTTCAAATTAATTTTCTGAAACTTGGAGCTATGCAGAGTGTTGAAATTTTTTCTGATATTAGAAGTATAGAGAAAAAGTTTCAAAATTAATTTATAGTAGGATTTCTTTCAACTCCTGGGTGCCACATGACTTGATGTCGTACTGCATAGCCGCAGATTTTCCCCATCTAAATTGCATGCTTTTGAGAGCTTTCAAAAGCATTGGGAAAAATCAGGTTTTTTGATTAGAGCCAATTTTTTGGGGGTCTTAATAAGCAGCTATGATTGTGTAGAATATTTTCCAAACTACTTCGTCATAATGCTGCTGCTGGTTTTTACCTTAATACCAACTGAATGTTAATTTGCAGAGTTTTGACCGAGATGAGCCTGTGCGAGAAAAAGAAGTTTACATCACAGTTCGGGCCACAGACAATGGCAAACCACACCTGGACGATGTGTGCACCATTAAAGTCACAATAACAGATGTCAATGATAACTATCCTGTCTTCGACAAAGCTGTAAGTTCTTAGTTTATCATTTTCTTTATTTTTCATTCGTTTTCTGTATAAAGCGATGGCTGATAAGTCAAGCTCCTGAGATGCAAGACTGAAAGTTACATGTCAATAATCAAGGATAAAGAAATACGAGGGGCATTCGTAAAGTAAGTATATATCTTTATTTTCTCCAAAACTAATGAAGATAAATCAAAACAGTAAAAATTGTTTTGACCGCCATACTCTCAGCTTTGCAAAAAGCCTTCGTTTTTTTAAATTTGGTTTACTGGTTCGCGAGTGATGTCATTTTTCCCGTGCCCATCTCTGGTTACCGCGTGTCCAAAATATTCGAGGGCGGCGGAGCTCCTCAGACGAGTACATGTTTTCACCGTAAAGAAGTTTGTAACACAGTTGATTGGTTAAATATGTGAAATTTTTAGGCTTTGAATTGTCTTACCTTACTTTTGGACTTAACTTCACCCAGTTGAACACATATCTGATACCGTGTTAGCAGTTTGTGGATTCCATCTTCAAAGAATCTCGCATTCTGTTGTTGGAATACAGCTTCTTGCAACTCTCTGTCGGTAAAGAACTTTTGGCCACCCAAGCTCTTCTTTATCGCAGGAAAAAGATGAAAATCGCTTGGAGCAAGGTCCGGTGAGTACGGTAGATGAAGAAAAAGGTCCCATAAATTGAATGAGGCGAACAAGTCTTGACTCACATGAGCCACATGAGGCCTAGTGTTGTCTTGAAGGAACAAAACTTGATGAGACAAAAGACCTGGTCATTTTCGCTTGATCGCTGACTTAAGTTTTTTCAGAACTTCACAACATACTTCGGCATAGATCGTTTTTCCTCTTTCCAAGAAATCGATCAGCAATATTCCTTGAGCGTCCCAAAACATCGTAGCCAAAACATGTACTTGTCTGAGGAGCTCCGCCGCGCTCGAATATTTTGGACACGCGGTGACGAGAGATGGGCGCGGGAAAAATGATGTCACTTGCGAACTGGTAAACCAAATTTAAAAAACGAAGGCTTTTTGAAAAGCTGAGAGTATGGTGGTAAAAACAATTTTTACCGTTTTAATTTATCTTTATTAGTTTCGGAGAAAATAAAGATATATACTTACTTTACGAATGCCCCTCGTAGACCATATATTGCGTCTAGCAAGAAACAAATGTTTGATACCAAGCTTTTATCTATAATAATATAATACTACAGTAATGTCCTGGTAATTAAAAAGTGTATCAACTGTTTCCATGCCATAGATTGGCAGAAGCATCGAATGATATTTTCATTTTTAGCTGAAGCATCTCTCTATAACATATCCAAAGCCTCTTAAAAAACAACATGGGTCCTGAATATGGATCTGATGACTGCATGATTTATACAAGACCTACCCCTGAGGCGAATGTCAATTTTTTAACCAATACTTGCTTTCATGCAGAATTATGTAGAATCTGTCCCACAAGACCTGGCTGTCGGACAAGAAGTGATGAGAATATCCGCCACTGATATTGATGATGGTAATAACAGTACTGTTGTTTATGAATTGTCTCCAAAAAATTACGATGATGGTAGCTACTTCAGGATGGATGCAAACTCTGGAGTCATTTTCCTCAACAAATCAATCAATGTAAGTTATTTTGATGTATATCAATGCATCTTTCAATTCACCACCTTGATTTTCTCCCTTCCTAATAGTAAATCTGATCTCAAGTATTCCAAAATAAGTTAAACCTGTTATTTAGTAAAATAAAGTGTTAAGCTTTAGAGCAGTGTTCGAAACTCACAGGCGCCAATGCGCCGAATGCGCCTAAAAAATCGGCCATGGCCCCTAAAAAATGAAGGCTCTGCGCTAACATGGCCCCTAAAAATCTGGATTTTCACAGGAAGTCACATAAAGAAAGAAAAATCAATCCATTTGAATTGAAAAAACTCAGAATTTTTAGCACTACAAGTGAAAGCTTGCTTTTTCTATTCTTCACAATTTCATTCTTAGTGCTTTTGTCTTCCCCAAGTTACAGCTACTCACTAGTTCTGTTACGAAAACATCTTACGTCTAACTTTTCACTAAATGCGCCATAATATATGGGCAAAAAGTCAATTTGGCCCCTAAAAAATCTTCAATGGCGCCTAAAAATCGGGCTTGATGCGTCTTATGGCTCTTAAAACTCTAAGGTGAGTTTCAAATACTGCTTTAGAGGGTATTAGAAATGAAGCATCATACTTTATTGAAGGTGAAACTGTAGGAATTTTTATATCATTTCCTGTGTTCAAAAATTACTATTTTCATTTTATTTTATAGAAAGAAAAATTGAACACTATTGTTTGAAATCTTCAAAAAATATTTTTCTCACAGAAAAGGGAATGATGTCGAGTACTTACTTTAGCCAAAGCTACTCTAACTTGATATTGTGGTTATAGTTTGATCTTGTTTTTCTCTTGTTTAAAGCGTCAACCAGGTTATAAATTTAAGCTTCGTGCCACTGCCTCAGATCAGGGATCAACTCCAAAAAGGACCACAACAGACTTGGAAGTAAAAGTAGTAGAGTCAAATAAGAAACCTCCGACTTTTACTTACATACCTGCAAGCCCCATCATGCTCTTTGAAAACCTCTCGGATTTCACGTATAACATTGCAACCTTAACTGCTGCGTATGTTCATTTATTAATATTCTTTGATGCAATGTTTCATAACTGAGCAGATGCTTCCAAATATTTCTAATCATTAAAGAACCTGAAAAGGGGGGAAAAACAGGCTGTAAATGCATGAAAAAATTACAATTATCAAAAGAGTGCAATTTCTTTTTAAAATTATTCATCGAAACATATCTCTCTCAGTAAATTATGATTAACTGACTCCAGTTTTCCCATTTTTGAAGCGTATTTGTACTTTAAGGTTGCTACAGTTAGGGAAAATTGGGAAATGTTGGGGAACTATAAAGTCAGGGAAAACCTGGAAATATCAGGAAACATATTGAAAGTGTCCGGAAAAAAATTGTTGATTCATATTTCTTTCCTCTTTAAAATGGGTGTGGCATTTTGAACAGAAATTTTGCTTGAAGCTTATTTTAAATTATGTATTTTTAATCACCTAACATATCACCAATCGTCATAGAATGGGGTTATTGCTTGATTTTTTTTAAATCAGTTTCTACAAGTTGGAGGTGTACTGATGGTGAAGGTATTTTTTTAAAAATTTTCTTATGATTGGAACATGGAGGAAAAGCCCCAGAAAGTCCGAAACGATTCATAACGGGTTCTGTCCTGCGCCTTGAAATCATGTCACTATGACATCACAATGTATGGCCACAGGTTTTTGCTATCTAAACTGCGTGCTATTGTGAGTTTTTTAAAAAATTGGGAAAAATCGAGTATTCCGAGTAAACCCACCTATTCTTCCTTGATTGATACCCGAAGATAAGGTGAATCATTTTCAGACTAGTTCTTGGCTCTTTACAATGATTTCTAGGTCGAAAAGTGAGTTCTAAAAGAGCTGTTTCCCATTTCCTGCAAAAAGGAGCCGTTCGGCGGTGAGTAGAGGGCAGTGCGCAGTAAGGTGGTTCTTATTTTTCGACTTTTTGAAAAACAAATGTCTGACCCCCCTAAAAGTTGTGATTTGGTGCAAAAAGAACCCACAAAAAATTTCAGCTCGATCAGATCATCCTAAGTGGTGCCGCCGGGGCCGACAAGTCTCCAAGCGGGAACTTCAAATTCCGAACAATTCCGTTTTTTCGTCATTTCGCGAATTTTTAACTCCCCTTCAAAATGTAGCAATGGCTTTGAAACTTTTTGAAGTAATACACTTTTTAAGGTACTTTATGAGAAAAATAACATAAATCACCTCACCACTTTAAAAATGCCCCCTTCCTCCCCTCAAAGTGGCCACATCGTGAGATTTCGCCGATTTTTCCCAACATTCTGCCCACACGGTGTACCTTTCCTCTACCATTAAAATGTCGCTACGGCTTTGAAACTTTTTGAAGTAACACACTGTTTATGGTACTTTATGAAAAAAATAACACAATTTACCTCACCACTTTAAAAATACCCCATTCCTCCCCTCAAAGTGGCCACATCGTGCGATTTCGCCGATTTTTCCCAACATTCTCCCCGCACGGTTTGCCTGAACGAATTTATATTTTTGGACGAATCAAAAGCAATGACGCTTCAAATTCATGAAGCAGAGTGTCTGCCGAGTTATTTAAGCCAAGAAGAAAAAGAATCTGTCGAGCTCCTGGAAAATAAAGTTGACGTAGAGGTATTTTATGGCTAAAAGAGGCAATTTACCGATGGTAAGTCCTGTTAGATTACTGAAAATAAATTTCCTCGCCTGAAGTTACAATGCCTAGGTTTCTTGAATATGGCTTCTTTAAGTACTCGAACACTAAAACCGCCGATTTTCGCAACATGATAAATTTTGGAGACCTGGAATTACCCATTGGAACCGAAAATTTCTCAAATTTTCCATGAAGCTCTCCAAAAATGGTCCATGCTTTCTGGACCGTCGATTCGGCCATCGAACCGAGTTTGAAATGGAAGCCTATAATGACCTGAAGCTCAGAGAAAAAGATCCATTCAAGCGTAAGAACGGTTTCCGAGTCTCGGAGGGGAGGGGGGAGCAAATCCAAGCTATTATTCGCCGTTCTCTTGTTGAATTGATGTTGCTGCAGGCTTCTAGTCGTTGTTCACCCATGTTCAGCCTATCGATACCGCACAAGTTTTTAACATAAAATTCGATTTTCATGTCTAGAATTTGATACATCGATGCGCTTTATCGATTTTTCCCAATTTTCTAGGAACAATAATTCTTTTGTTATTCAATACTGACGAATATCGATACTGGAAACCAGCAATGTTCCTTGTCAAATCGGGAAAATCGATAAAGCGTATTGATGTGTTGAATTCTAGACATGAAAATCGAATTTTATGTTAAAAACTTGTGCGGTATCGATAGGCTTAACATGGGTGAACAACGACTAGAAGCCTGCGGCAACATCAATTCAACAAGAGAACTGCGAATAATAACTCGGATTTGCTCCCCCCTCCCCTCCGAGACTCGGAAACCGTTCTTACGCTTAAATGGATCTTTTTCTCTGAGCTTCAGGTCATTATAGGCTTCCATTTCAAACTCGGTTCGATGGCCGAATCGACGGTCCAGAAAGCATGGACCATTTTTGGAGAGCTTCATGGAAAATTTGAGAAATTTTCGGTTCCAATGGGTAATTCCAGGTCTCCAAAATTTATCATGTTGCGAAAATCGGCGGTTTTAGTGTTCGAGTACTTAAAGAAGCCATATTCAAGAAACCTAGGCATTGTAACTTCAGGCGAGGAAATTTATTTTCAGTAATCTAACAGGACTTACCATCGGTAAATTGCCTCTTTTAGCCATAAAATACCTCTACGTCAACTTTATTTTCCAGGAGCTCGACAGATTCTTTTTCTTCTTGGCTTAAATAACTCGGCAGACACTCTGCTTCATGAATTTGAAGCGTCATTGCTTTTGATTCGTCCAAAAATATAAATTCGTTCAGGCAAACCGTGCGGGGAGAATGTTGGGAAAAATCGGCGAAATCGCACGATGTGGCCACTTTGAGGGGAGGAATGGGGTATTTTTAAAGTGGTGAGGTAAATTGTGTTATTTTTTTCATAAAGTACCATAAACAGTGTGTTACTTCAAAAAGTTTCAAAGCCGTAGCGACATTTTAATGGTAGAGGAAAGGTACACCGTGTGGGCAGAATGTTGGGAAAAATCGGCGAAATCTCACGATGTGGCCACTTTGAGGGGAGGAAGGGGGCATTTTTAAAGTGGTGAGGTGATTTATGTTATTTTTCTCATAAAGTACCTTAAAAAGTGTATTACTTCAAAAAGTTTCAAAGCCATTGCTACATTTTGAAGGGGAGTTAAAAATTCGCGAAATGACGAAAAAACGGAATTGTTCGGAATTTGAAGTTCCCGCTTGGAGACTTGTCGGCCCCGGCGGCACCACTTAGGTGATCTGATCGAGCTGAAATTTTTTGTGGGTTCTTTTTACACCAAATGACAACTTTTAGGGGGGTTAGACATTTGATATTCGAAATGTCGAAAAATAAGAACCACCCTAGTGCGCAGCAACCAGCCACGCTCAGGTTCTTCTGGCAACGTCTGCTCATCATCGTAACCAATCAGAGCTTGAGTTGAGCTCAACCTAACCTAACCTCACCTCCACTAGATAAACACGCGGTCAAGATGTGGGTAATGGCGGCGAGGAGAGACTCCTATACGGTGTGACATGTAGTTTGACCAACTGTACAGCAGCCGATGAAAATTGTTTATTTCCAACTTAAATTTTATGGAACCCTAGCAATCTTTTTCGGGCTTAAGGATTCGTTTTTTGACTCTTGACTTTACGATCGTTTTTGTTACGAAAAGTTCTATGGCTACATATTTTTCATTCTCAAATCCCTCGCCCATGCAACAACCCCATTTTACCTCAATGTGTCAGGGAAATCAGGGAAATGTCAGGGATTTTTATTTTCTAAATTTTGTGCAACCCTGGTAGTACACTGCCTTTGTGATGGTTTCGATGCCTCATTGATACAAGGGGTATTCGTAAAATAAGTTAATATTTATCATATCTTCTAAAGTATTAAAGATAATTTAAATCTGTTAAAAGCATTTGAATTGTCATACTCTCAGCGTTTTAAAACGATTCAGTTTTTAAAATTCGGTCTTCCAAGTGCCGAGTGACATCAGTTTTCCCACATCCGCCTCTCGCCACCGCCTGTCCACAAGTAACGTGCGCTCGGGAGGTCGCAGGACGGTAGCATGCGACTTCATTCCGCAAAATTGTCAAAATGAGATTTTTAATTCAAAATTGAATAGTTAAATGTTTGAGAATACTTTACCTTACTTTCCCACGTAATCTCTATCTCGTTGAACACATTTTACAAACCGAGACACGAGCTTTTTAATACCATCAGCGGAAAACTGTCGATTTTGTTTTTGCAACCTTTTTTGCACAACTTCTTTCAGCTCATCAGCGTCCGTTGAACTTTTTCCGCTAAAACCCTTCTGTAGCTCAGGAAATAAGTGTTAAATCACTTGAGACAAGATCCTGGGAAGAAGGGGAATGGGGAAAGGGCCCATTTAAAGGAGATCAACAACTGATTGGTCACATGAGCTGTATGCGGCCTAGCGCTGTCATGAAGCAGCAACATTCAACAAGACGAAATACCTGGGTGTTTTGATTGCTGATTTGAGCCTTTTCATGACATCGCAGTTTCTGTTAGCGTCAATAGTTGTGCCTTCTTCTAAGAAATCAATAAGCAACACTCAATGAGCACTCCAAAATCCGTGCGCACATACACTGGGTGGCGAGAGACTGGTGTGGGAAAACGGATTTTACTCGGCACTCAGAGAACTAATTAAAAAACTGAAGCTGTTTAGAAAGCTGAAAGCACATATGACAGTTCAAACGCTTTTTACAGATCTAAATCATCTTTATTAGTTTAGAAGATATGACAAATATTAACTTACTTTTCGAATACCCCTTGCACAATGTATTGTCTCTGAAGTTCGGGGATTCCTGAAACATCCATAAATTTGTTAAATTAGTGTAGGTAGTTATACAACAAAATAGCAGCTTGCGAATGGAAAATACTTCCTCCTGCACTGAATTGTAATTAAATGACAAACTTTTAAATGGAATTTAAGTATATGAACAAGCATGATTTATAAATAAATAATATATACCATATGAGTGAGATTACAATAGAAAAATAGGGATTTTTCCAGGACCAGGAAGAAAATTTTGAAGATTTTAAAATTTTGCCATATATTTAATCTGTAAATTTAAGTTTCACTGTCTTTTCAAAGTATACATCTGCTGTTATACTATAATGGTAAAACTATTTTAAGAATTTAGTATCCTCCTTCTCCATCTAAAATAATTTGATTTTAAATCTTTTCAGATCCAACACTGATGAAGCTGCCCCTGTGTTTGAGTTAATCACTGGGCGGACTGAACAGACCAACAAACAAACAACATTTAGGTTAGAATCTGAAGGTGTCACTGCCCACATAAGAATGGCAAGGCATTTAGATTACGAAGCAATCTCTGAATATTCTTTAACAATTCGCATTCAGGTAAGGAGTAGTATTTGCTAATGCACAATTGCGATTGGTGAAAATGGCTGCAAACAAAAGGCTAATTTTGAGCCTCAAGCCCTCTTTTCAAAAGTGATGAATTTTTTTTATGTTTTCAATTCTTTTGTCCCCCTTGTCTCTGTGAAAAAGTGGGATTAAGTGCATCATTTTATGTGAAGGGAATAAAAAATTTGATCGGGAGGATAAAATACCAGATTGCAAAGAAAGTCAGTGTTTTGGAATTGTTGGCGCTCCTACCCAAGTACTTTTTGCAAATTTCAGTTGATTTTTACTCAAGTTTGCAACTCCCATCTTCCTTCACTACCTCTTATTTTCGTCTCCAAGAATTGTGTTTACACTCTCAATTAACTAAAGGAGAAAGTTTTGCATTTTGCAGTCTGACATAATCAACATCAATTGAAAATACTACATTTTTAATGAAGATGTCCAACATATTTCTTGATCACAGGGAGATTTTTATTGTGTCAGGCTTTATACAGGGTGTTCCAAAAGTTCAGCCCCCCCCCCTTCTAACATTTGAATGGTTCCCGATAGAAATATGAAACTTTGGAATGTTCCTATCTCAAAGGGGACCATCTTTTGAGGGGGTCAACATTTTGGTCCCCCCTTAGGTGAGGGGCGGGGGGCCCCCAACTTTTTTTTTCAAATAGCAACCCCTATCTTTTGATACCTCATTCGAAAGTACATAAAAAACTAAGAATTTCGGCGCAAACAGCAGATCAATATCTTAATTTTTTACCGAGTTATGATAGGTCAAAGATCAAACTTGACCTATTTTCAAAAAATCATAAGTCCGGTTCAAATTATCGTTAAGAAAAAAATAAAACGGGAAAATTTACCAAATTACACAATTTGGTGCAATTTTTACTTAAAAGCCAACACTGGCTTTTAAGTAAAAATTGCAAAAATCACTTCGAATTAATTTTAAGAGGGGGCTCGAACCCCCAAATACGTCAATTCAAAGGTCATTCAATTTTCCCGCGAAATAAGCCAATTTCCCCTTGATTTGCCTCCACATTATCTCAGTAGGGCCAAAATCAGTTCAAAATTACGTTGGCAAATTCCCAAATTTCGGGAAAAGTTCAAAAAACGGAATTTAAGGTGATTAAATTTGGCCGTTTATATCTCGTTTATTTTGAACTTTTCCCGAAATTTGGGGGACTTGCCAACGAAATTTTGAACTGACTTTGACCTTACTGTGATAACGTGGAGGCAAATCAAGGGGAAATTGGCTTATTTCGCGGGAAAATTGAATGACCTTTGAATTGACATATTTGGGGGTTCGAACCCCCCCTTAAAATTAATTCGAAGTGATTTTTGCAGTTTTTACTTAAAAGCGAACACAATTTGGTAAATTTTCCCGTTTTATTTTTTCTTAACGATAATTTGAATCGGAGTTATGATTTTTTGAAAATAGGTCAAGTTTGACCTTTGACCTATCATAACTCGGTCAAAAATTAAGATATTGATCTGCTGTTTGCGCCGAAATTCTTAGTTTTTTATGTACTTTCGAATGAGGTATCAAAAGATAGGGGTTGCTACTTGAAAAAAATGTTGGGGGCCCCCCGCCCCTCACCTAAGGGGGGACCAAAATGTTGACCCCTCAAAAGATGGCCCCCTTTGAGATGGAAGCATTTCCAAAGTTTCATATTTCTATCTCGAACCGTTCAAAAGTTAGAAGGGGGTGTGGACTTTAGGAACACCCTGTAGAGAGAAAAGTTTATTGAAGTTGTTTTAAGTAGAGCTTGTCTCGAAATATTTCTCATGAAAAAATGTTTGAACTCAGTTACTATTTTCACAACACCATTTTACCAGTCTAAACTTTCCAAGCCTTAAAGAGCTTTTTAATTTTTCACTTGAAGACAAGTTTTTCTCCGAATTTTTTAAATGTCATTTGAGGTGTCTGTGCACTGGAACTTCTAGTTTTACCTACAATGAAAAATTTTAGTAATGGAAATGTTTTGAATAAAGATTTAACAAAACTTGTACAGAGCTTCGTAAAAACAATGCAGTAGTTATTCTAGTAATATTGTTTATGCAGAGAGTATGTAAGGTTAGAGGCTTGACTCAATGCTAATTAATTAAAACAGGAGCGCTCGCAGCGCGCTTGCCGGCAACATACGCAACTACTATTTTCTGTTGTTTTACCGAGACTGGCGGCGGGTATGTTGCTGTTGGACCACCTCCACATAGGCAATTTTTCCTGCAAATCTCGCTTGCCCAATCAGCGCAGTAGAACGGGAATCCCGCTCGCCGCGCACTCTCGCGCCAACATACGCAACTTCTTGCTCACGGCTCAACTTCTGTTTCAATTCTTCCCTATCCAGTCAAGCCTCTAACCTTCCATACTCTCTGTGTTTATGACTGTTATAAAATTATGAAAACAGGATGAAATTTCAAATGGTATTGGTCATGCTTTTTTTTCTCCAGAACAAACATAATCTTGGTGCTTCCGCACCCTTGAGTATTCGATTGATTGATGTGAATGACAACATTCCAACGTTTACCGAAGTTGTATCTGGATTCGTCCTCGAAAATGAGCCTCCTGGCACGGCAGTCATGCAGGTCAGAGCTATTGATGCTGATTCATCACCAGAGCACAATCAGGTTAGATACTTTTATCCATTAACCTTGAATCTCGTTGGTGATACTCTCGGCTAAATGGAGGGCATGAACGAAAGCAAGTTTAAACAAGCACCAGTGCAAATTTTTGGCCAGTAGATTTACTACACATGTCACGTACTATTGTCTGTATTTTTGTAATTATGGCTAGATGTAATGTACTAATTACGACAAGTTTCAAAAAAAAAAAAGTTTGAGTGTTTTAAATGTAAATGTTGAAGAATGGGTGTTTCTCAACCATTTGATTGAAAATAAATTGATTCCGTTTTAAATGTTTATGATTATTTTTTAAATATGCCTATAATATTATATGTATCAAATAATTTGTTATGGCTGTCATTTTTAAAAAATTCAGTTTTTACTGAGGCAGCAGCCATTAAGTTTTGTAAGCATGGATTTTTCCATGCAAACGAATAACCGATAATTTTTAATATGAAATATACATATATATGAGTGATGTACTGTGCAGCCGGACATGAGGTAAAAATCGAAGCCAAAAAATTGGGATAATAGCTGTAAAACGTTTGAAACATGAAAACCGTAGGTTTCGGGACGAAAATGACCGACCCCTTCCTTAGCAGATAAAAATTACAAAATTATTTTAAAACCTTACAAATTACCTCCTCTCCATCTTGCCAATATATATGCGATTTAATGGCCGTAGTTTTTACAAAATTTACCTTGTTATCAACTTGCAGTCAAATAGTAGCTCATTCCTTACCGCGATGTTTCGCTCCACATGGGGGGGCATCTTCAGACAGGCTTTATACATATCGCATTTATCACATGAAAATTTAAAACTATACGTAAAAGCAGGTCAAGTGTCTACACGAAATGTTGAAATTAACGATTGGCCCAGCGGAAAAAATTTAAAAAACAGGAAAACTAAAATGGTGGTTACCACGATACTCGGGCTTGTGAGATTGCTCAAAAACTGGCCGGCAAACAAAGAGAGTACGTTGCTTAGAGGAGCAAACAGATAACCACACCTATAATAATCAGAAGAAAACACTGTTTGCGGAGCCAAGTACATTGGTGTCAGTTCTGAAATTAATGGAATTTGAGCACTGTTTAATCTGTATGGCTTCATGATACAACCTTGCCCTGAAATTGGGTTCTCTGACAAGTACTTTTGGATTTATACGCTTATATAGCTAATACTGCAATTCAGACAATTTATCTCATGAACTACACTGGAGGTTTTTTCAGGTGGTACTGTACTCTTTAATTTTGAGAAAAACCGTTTATTTTTACCGTGCTGGAAGTCCTATAACTTCTTTCCAGTTTTCAGTAACCCAAATTCGAATAAAATTGAAGAGTACAGTACCACCTGAAAAAACCTTCGGTGTAGTTTATGAGATAAATTGTCAGAATTGCAGTGTTGCCTATATAGGCCATACTAAACGCTACCTAGAGGAATGAATACGGTCAGACAGGTATGACAAAAAGGAGAAAACTGCTCTGCACCAAAATAGCCACGAACAACAGCACGAATTTACCTTCATAAATCCAAAAGTACTTGTCAGAGTACCCAATTTCAGGGCAAGGTTGTATCATGAAGCCATACAGATTAAACAGTGCTCAAATTCCATTAATTTCAGAACTGACACCGATGTACTTGGCTCGGCAAACAGTGTTTTCTTCTGATTATTATAGATGTAGTTGTCTGTTTGCTCCTCTCAGGGACGTGCTCTCTTAGTTTAGCAGTCAGTTTTTGAGCAATCTTACAAACCTGAGTATCGTAGTAAACACCATTTTAGTTTTCCTGTTTTTTAAATTTTTTGAATGGGGAATGTAGGAGAGACCCAGGAGATCACCACTGCAGATGAGGTATTCATTTTTAATCTGTTTTGCGCAATTTTCAAAGTGCCCATTTCTCGCCATTTCAAGTAGTTATTTTGGACGGGTTCGAGAATTCGCGGTAGGTACTGCTAGCAGATTCGCTTTCCTCGACCCGCTAAACCCTCCAAAACCTAGTTTCATTGAGATCCATTCATAATCAGCCGAAACACCGATTTCTTGTCATTTTAAGGCAGTCAGTTTTTGATGGGTTTGTGAATTCGCGGTAGGTAATGGTAGATTCGTTTTTCTTGACCGTAAAAACCCCCGAATACTCAGTTTCATCCAAATCAGTGCATAATCACTCGAGATATCCATTTCCCGCCATATTGAAACAATTATAGATAGCGACTTGAGGCTTGCGCGAAAATTTTTCTTTTTTTTTTATTACCTTTCAAATGACGTATCACAAAGAGGGGAGGGTTTCCATTTGAAATATTCGAGACACAGGGGTGGGATCCGCCCCCTGGGGGGCTCCCCCCAAGGAGGGCCCAAAAATGCGAATGTGAGGAAAAGATGTCCCCCTAAAAATTATTGAACACATGTTTCGGCGTTTTTCGATGTATGAATTCCTTCAAAAGAAATTCGAACTGGCTCGTTTCTTTAGAGACACCCTGCATATATTTATAGTTTGTTAGTTAGTTAATTTTATTAGTCATTCAGTATCTTACGCTATTAATGTCTTTACAGAAAGTATGAAGGGTGAGTGCCATTTATTTATTAAACTATTTGTACATAATCTAATTGTACGTGCCCTTAATAGTCTGATAAATTGAGACTCTACTATACCTATAATATTCTAATTTCTTATGTAATGAATTATTATCGGTATCTTATTGCTTTCTCATCCTTGTCTGTCTATTGTTTGGAAGTAAGAGATATATTTGTTTTCTATCAGGTTACGTATAAGCTGGCTGACAACACGGAATATTTTTCTATCGATGAATACACAGGTAATATCACAACTCGAGTAACTTTCGATCGTGAGAGTCAAGATGTTTACAACGTCAAGGTGATTGCCTCAGACAATTCACCCTCAGCTTTGTATTCCACAGGAGAACCCAACAGAGGTATTGTTGTTTGTACTAAGTTTCTGTATTAATGCATTATGAGAGAGAGAGATCCAAAAGCAGGAAGGCCCTTGCTGCTATTTGTTAGTGTTCTATTGTAAGTAGGGTTTCGCTAATTTTGAGCCAAAAACTAAACTAATGTATTGGAGCCTGTAGACTGTAAAGACTTGGAACCTATTTTTAGAACACTTGAGAATAGTACCTTAAGATAAAAAAAAATATGAGTGTCTTGGTAAATTTTGTTTGCTGGTCAGAATCATGTGCTGAAATGGCTATTTAAATAATTTTGAGGTTTGAAAATGCGCTTTATTTTGAGACTATATTATCCGAATATCATAACTTTGCCTCTTAATGTACAAGTAGCAAACATCTAATGTGTAGGAAGAGAAAATTTCTATTTTTAAAGCAATCTGTGCGACCCCTAAACTTCTTTTTGTATTTCCTTGAAAGTTCATGAAAATTTTTTCTTAAGTTCATGAGAGATCTTCAAAAATTCTTGATATTTGACTAATTTGAACTTCATATATCTTTGAGAGATTTTTTATTCGATTTTCAAAAGCTACCATGAATCCTGATGTATGATATGTATATTTCTGTATCCAGGTCAGCAAGTGTTTAAAATCGAAATTGCCGACAAGAATGACCATCCTCCGAAATTCACACAAGATTTTTACTATGCTGATGCAATCTCTGAAGATGCCAACAAAAATTCTCTAGTGGCAGAAGTTAAGGCACTTGACAATGATACAGGTAAACTAATCTATTTTCTGCGAATTGTGACTACATAAATCCATTCAAGACTAAAAAATTTCACTGTATTTGTCATCTCATTGCCACTGATATGTTTGAAGAAAAATACTGACACAAAATGTTGCAGTTTCATTTTGACTTCATGCATTCGTTTTAGTTCCAGGATGTCAAGGGAAATCAGTAGTGGAATTCTTTTTTACGAGGGGCATTCGTAAAGTAAGTATATATCTTTATTTTCTCCGAAACTAATGAAGATAAATTAAAATGGTAAAGATTGTTTTTACCGCCGTACTCTCAGCTTTTCGAAAAGCCTTCGTTTTTTAAATTTGGTTTACCGGTTCGCGAGTGACATCAATTTTTCCGCGCCCATCTCTCGTCACCGCGTGTCCAAAATATTTGAACGCGGCGGAGCTCCTCAGACGAGTGAGTAAGCAGGTTTTCTCCATAAAGAAGGTTGTAACACAGTTAATTGGTTAAATATGTGAAACTTTCAGGCTTTGAATTGTCTTACCTTACTTTTCGACATAATCTCCACCCAGTTGAACACATTTCTGATTATATGTGTTAGCAGTTTGTGGATTCTATCTTCAAAAAATTGCGCATATCCTGTCGTTGGAACCATTTTTTTACAGCTTCTTGCAACTTTGCGTCGGTGGAGAACTTTTGACCACCCAAGCTCTTTTTTAATGCGGGAAAAAGATAAAAATTGCTTAGAGCAAGGTCCGGTGAGTACGATGGATGAGGAAAAAGGTCCCTTTGAATGAGGCGAACAAGTCTCGATTCCTATGAGGCCTAGCGTTGTCTTGAAGAAACAAAACTTGACGAGACAAAAGATCGGGCCGTTTTCGCTTGATCGCTGAATTATGTTTTTTCTAAACTTCACAATATATTGCTGCATCGATCATTTTTCCTCTTCCCAAGAAATCGATTAGCAATATTCCTTGATCGTCCCAAAACACCGTAGCCAAAACATGTACTCGTCTGAAGAGCTCCGCCGCGCTCGAATATTTTGGACACGCGGTGACGAGAGATGAATGCGGGAAAAATGACGCCACTCGCGAACCGGTAAACCAAATTTAAAAAATGAAGACTTTTTGAAAAGCTGAGAGTATGGCGGTAAAAACAATCCTCACCGTTTTAATTTATCTTCATTAGTTTCAGAGATAATAAAGATATATACTTACTTTACGAATGCCCCTCGTACCAGGCTGGCCTATGCAGCTCATATTAATTGAGTTTTTAATTTTTGAAGAATTTTTTCAAGTTTCCCCAGCACCTTTCCGATATTTCGTATGGTTGAGTTTTTATTATACTTATGGATTGCTTTCTCTATTTGCAGCATCTGTTGTATCCTATAGCATAGTTGACGGTAACATAGACGATGCATTTTTGATTGAGCAATCAACAGGAAAAATCAAAGTCGCAAATAAACTGGATTATGAAAATATTAAGCAGGTAATTTCTTTAACATTATGATTTCTATAATTGAGATGATAGGCTATCCCAAGCCTGGAACACCGCCAGATCAGGACCTGAACCACCGAATTCATGTAGAAAATGGACCTGTTGGTCTAACCTCCACATCAGAACATACTGTATCAATATATTACCCTTCACGGTAACATGAAAAATGTTTCTAGAAATTCTTGGGAGCTAGCATATAACTCAACCACAGCCTGGAGGACCAGCACATGATCGCAAAGTGTGTTCCCCTAGACTTGTTGCCCTCTCTATGGTCATGAGTCCAATCTTCTCTCCCCATGGGTCGTTCATACCCCTGAAAGCAGGTGACTATCTTCGAAACCCTTTTTTAAGGAAGGGGCTAACAATTGGGGTCCACAGGACTGCTAAACCTGAAACAGTTCTCTCTAACAGATATACTGTTCTGTGCTGTCAAATGAAAATGTTGGTGACTAAATACTTGATTTGCTTCTTAAAAGTGAAGAGGAAGCGTTTAAAAATGCGATGAATGCTCCTTATTTTAGAAATTGATTGTTAAGTTTGGAAGCTTGTCATCTCTTTTTTCTCTGAACCTCAATAGTGGAGCTTCATTTATCAAGCTCAACTACTATAATCACCTGTCTCCTGATCTAGGCTTTTACTGGGTCTTTCCTTAAGAAATACAAAACCTCAACCTTTTCTGCCATGAATGGGACGGATCATAAAAGTCATTTTTAGAAAAATTCGATGGCATGCCTTTAAATTACCTTACTTAATTTATCTGTAAATTGTTAAATGAAAATATTTGCTTAGCTGTAATTACCATGATCTCATGTATTACCTGCTGGTTTCTAGTACCTGCTCAAGATCAAAGCATTTGATGGAATTTTTGAAGACACATGTGAAGTGAGGATAGAGATTAAAAATGTGAATGACAATCCTCCTGTATTCCTTCCGTACGAAAACAAGATTCAAATTCAAGAAGAGCTACTTGTTCCTGGATGCATTACGAAGGTGGAAGCATATGATCCCGATATTCCTGATCGCGAAGCAGATCAAAATATTTCATACTTTGTTGTAAAAGCAGAACAGCAGAAGCTCCTCAGCATAGACAAGAATGGTTGTCTAATTTTAATCAAAGTAAGCACCCATCTCTATTATATTCACATTATTTTCATTTCAATGTTTGATTATATTAGTATAAAAAGTTATAGAATCTGTGTGTCTAGAATCGTGTTCTCTATGAAAGTTTTATGATGTTACATGTATCAGAATGCTTAATTCGCACCTTTTCTACTGGTTTTATGATTTAAGTTCTAAAACGACGTTAATAGTTCAAGACATAGACATTATGGTTCAGGGGTGTTTTGTAAAATGACTCAGAATATGTTATTTGAATGGAGGTTTACCCGGAAAAGACATGTTTTGATCGGCTCCATTTTTTTCTAACCTAAACTAAGGTTATACGTTGTTTCGAGACCTGATTTCAGTATCAATCGTTTCAGTTCGGAGTGTAGTTTACTACTGTGAACTGTTAAACCCAGGGACTAGAAAATAGTAGTTTTTCAGTGACAGTGTAGTGGGTTCAGTGTTATGCAATCACTCAACATTGCCAACTCTACCCACTCACTCGTCGAGTTTTTCCTGTTTGCGCATGTGCATTAAACAGCAAATCCGGCAACATCGAAACTGATTAGCTCAAAATTATCAGATCAGAAGGAGAGATGAGTAAGAAAGAGGACGATAAAGCCAAATCTCTCTTAAACCTCTCCTTGCAGGAGCTGAAGGAGGAAAAAGAGAGATTAGGAAAGAAGCTTGACGGCATGGAGATGAAGATGAATGAATGGAATGAGCATGTCAACAAATCCCCCCTCCCGCCGGCGCCAATAAGAAAGATGAATACGAACAATTCCTGCATGAAATGAAAATTGTGGAAACAGCACGGATAGAAATCGAGAAGGAATTAAATAGGAGAAAACAGGCAACAGAAAGTGATGAAGAGAAATGGAAAGCCGAAGAAGAAAAAGTAGAAGCAACCCTTAAGGAACACTGGGACACCCTGGACATTGATGCGGTCTCCAATAGCTAGGGGAGCAAATAGAATAGAAAGAGGAATAGGACAGAGGAAAGAAGAATAGGGCGAAGCGATCTGGCAACCTCGGAACGACGAGCTCCGGCCTATCATAGATAGCGCATGGATGGAACCCGTCGAACTCAAAGCGGCCAGTCCATAAAGCGAGAAAATGGGGATAAATCTACATGACAGAGAGAAAATGCACTATAAAAATATGAAAAATAAGCACTCTAAGCACTCACCGAAGTCCTCAGTCTGGTGCAGCCATGCGGCGCTGAAGCGGCATGCTCTCGACGTCACGGGCGAAACCTGGCGCCATCTCACTCGCGTATACTAGAAATCTAGCCTAGCATGGT